GCTTTCTGCTGCTCCAGAAGGTAAGATCTGAGCCAATGGATTCACAGGATTAGAAAGGAGATTCTGACTCAGTATCAGGAAGAACTTTCTGGTGGTAAGAGCTGTTTAACAGTAGAACGGACTCCTTTGGAGGGTGATGGACTCTCCTTCCTTGCAGGTTTTCAAGCAGGGGCTGGATGGCCATCTGTCAGGGATTGTTCAGCTGTGACTCATGAATTGCAGAGAGTTGGACTAGATGACCCTCGGGATCCCTTCCAACTCTACAGTTTTATGATTCAAGAGATGCCAGTCCTTGGGAGACTCCACTTTCTATCTCTCCCCTTTCAGAGAGCTGTTCATTTATTCCTACTTCCTGTTCCCTGATGTTTAGCCAATTCCTGATCCACAACAGGACCTCTTCTGTTATTTATTGACTGCTAAGCTTACTTATAATAAGGGACGTGGGTGGCTCTGTGGTCTAAACCACAGAGCCTAGGGCTCACCAATCAGAAGGTCAGCAGTTCAAATCCCCGCAACAGGGTGAGCTCCCATTGCTCAATCCCTGCTCCTGCCAACCTAGCAGTTCGAAAGCACGTCAAAGTGCAAGTAGATAAATAGGTATCGCTCCGGCGGGAAGGTAAATGGCGTTTCCGTGCATTGCTCTGGTTCGCCAGAAGCGGCTTAGTCATGCTGGTCACATAACCCGGAAGCTGTACGCCGGCTCCCTCGGCCAATAAAGCGAGATGAGCGCCGCAACCCCAGAATCGTTTGTGACTGGACCTAACGGTCAGGGGTCCCTTTACCTAAGCTTACTTAGGAGTCTTAGGTGAGGTACTTTGTTGAAACTTTTTTGAAAGTTCATGTATGCTGTGTGATGCGTAAGACCTCTGCCTGGCACTTTAAAGCGGTGCTGCCAGTCAGAGCAGACACCATTTGGCTAGATGGATCAACGGTCTGACTCTGTGCAAGGAAGATTTGTGCACGGATGGTGGGGACGGAAAGAGCACCAGCTTGGCATGCAGAAGGTTCCAAATCTAGCCTGCAACATTTTCTCTACGTAGGGTTTGGAAATGATGCCCTGTCTGAAAATCTGGAGAGCTGCTGCCAATCAGTGTAGCCAATACTGAACTACTGTACAAAGACACATCATCTGACTCGTATACAGCAGCTTCCTGTGATCCCATACCTACAATAAAGTAAATATACATATTTGCTTACTAGGGATGAAAGTGAAATTTGTTCCATCCACATTTTAAAGTAACTCAGCCTCATTCACTGGTCCCAGATTTACATGCAGATTGAAGGACAGCAAACGATTGGATGAGAATTTTGTGATGCAGTTTTAGTTTCTAGATTGTGTGAAAAATACATGTATTTTATTGGGAAATGTAGTATTTTTCTGCATACAGAATGCAGATTTTTAGGGATTAATTTTTCAAAATGAAAAAAATGTGTGTGGAATTTACGAGGTGTTTTTTTTTTAATCTACAAAAAATGGACTTGTGATTGAGCACATGTGAAACTGGATGAAATTCACAATGCAGCCAAAATAAGAATCATTCAGTCAGAAAGAACCACTCTGAAAAAGATTCCAGCATCCTCTTCTAACAGTGGTCAGCCAGATGCCTGCGGAGCCTACAAGCAGAGCCTGAGCGCAACATGGAGTCTCCTCGCTTGTGACTGGCAGGAGCTGGAACTCAGAAGCATTGCTGCCTCAGGCCACAGAGGCAGAGCAGGTGGCTAAGAGCTGCAGACGGGCAGCCTTCTCATCTGCAAATCTGCCCAGTCTTCTGCATTGCAGCCATCCCTAATGACATGTCAGGCTCAATTAAAAGCAATGGTGTTAAAAAGGTGTTTAGATCTCCAATTAGATTTAGATTTTAGATTTGGGAGAGAGTGAAGCTCTTCCCTGTTTGGCAGAATCTCAGCTATCAAAATGAATCTACTACCCAGGATGCTGTTTTTATTCCAATCAATTTAAATGGTAAATAATTCAGGCTACTTCAAAGAATGGAAGGAGGATATTTCTAAATTCATCTGGCAGGGGGGAAAGCCAAGAATTAAACATAAAATTATGATAGATATAAAAGAAAGAGGAGGCTTTGCCCTGCCAGACCTGCAAATGTACTATGATGCAGCCTGCCTGTGTTGGTTAAAAGCATGGATTACATTGGATAATGCAGACTTAGAAGGTCATTTTTTAAAATTCAGCTGGCATGCATATCTCTGGAATGGGAAGGTGAAAATTTATAAAAGTTTTATGAATCATATTCTAAGGAAGAATTTGTATAGAGTTTGGGAGAAATATAAAAATCTGCTGGAAAGGAAAACACCTTTATGGCTATCTCCTATCGAGGCTATTACAATTAAGTGAGTCAATATGGATAGACAGGGAATTGCTGCACTTTACAGAGAGGGAACCTAAACTGAAATCAATGGACAGTGTAAGGAGCCATGTTACAGACTGGTTACAATATCATGTTGCATGAAATGTTTAAAATAGACAGGAAAAATAGTTTTTCAGACCAAAGCTCACAATTTGAAAAAGAACTTCTACAAAACAAAGAAAAACTTTTATCTAAAACGTACAATCTAAAATGCTCCCTGCAAGGCCCTTTCCACCTGGCCTAGGGGGTGGGGCCCAGACTCACCCAGCCTTCTATGTTAAATATGTATTCTGTAGTTGACCTCCTTTGTAATGTTTTATTTTGAAATCTTTAAGATACAGTCATACCTCATGTTGCATCCGCTTCAGGTTACGTCTTTTCAAGTTGCGTCCTGCGGCAACCCGGAAATACCGGAACGGTTGCTTCTGGGTTTCGCCGCAAGCACATGTGCAGAAGCACTAAATTGCGCCGCGTGCGCAGACGCCACTTTTCTGGATGCAAACGCTTTGAGTTGTGGATGTGCCTCCGGGACAGATTACGTCCGCAACTCAAGGTTCCACTGTAATATTTTCTTCTGTTATGTCGCTTTGACTGTATATATATTTGACTTTCTTCAGATTGTTTTATTTATGTTTTATTGATTTAATATGCTGTAAACAGCTTTGAGATTTTTCTTAAAAATATAAAGCGTTATAGAAATTAAATAAATAAATAAATAAATCAAAAGACGAGCTTGTCAAAGCCTCTGTGACAGTTTGGGCAATAGATATAGGACATAATATAGATTTTAATCTCTGGGAAAAACTTTGGAAGAGTGGTTTGATGTTTACAGCATGTTATTCTTTGAAGAACAACTTGAAAATGATTTACAGATCGTATTTAACTGCGAATAGGCTTGCTAAGATGTATAAGATGGAATCAGATAAGTGCTGGAGATGCAATGAGGTTGAGAGAACATTCTTTCATATGTGTTGGACCTGTAAGAGGGTAAAAGAGTATTGGGAAATAATTCATAATGAATTGAAAAAATGTTTTAAATTACTTTTCCAAAAAAAACACCACACACCCGAGTCCTTTTTGTTGGGTATAATTCAGATGGAAATTCCCAGATGTCAAAAAAGGTTATTTATGTATGTGACTACTGCAGCCCGTGTTTTGTTAGCACAAAAATGGAAAATGAGCGAGGTCCCAACCAAAGAAGAATGGCAACTTAAACTGATGGAATATGCGCAGCTTGCGGACCTAACATATAGTATAAGGGAACAAGAAGAACATACGTTGAAAGGAGATTGGAAAATGTTTATTGCTTATATGGAGGGAAATTGTGTGCACTTGAAAACGTTGCCAGTATTAAGATAAATTCAACAGTGTAAATAAGTCTTGATGGATGTAATAATGGAATGCTGAATGGTTTAGTTTATGTAAAATATGCAGAGATTTATAATATGCAAAATGAACCATGGAAAGAGAAGAAGTCATTGATATTTTAAGGTTCCTTAAATGAGTATTCTAAATTATAAAACAGAAAATTATACACACACACACACACACACACATAGTGTTTAGAAGGAAGATGTGAGTTTTTAGTTTGCAGTTGCTGTTTTAACATTCCAAAGCCTCTCCTTGCTTTATCTTTTTTTGAGGGTTCTTTTTTTAAACAAAAGTCAACCAAGCAGCGTGGAAATGTCTCCCGCGCGGAGTCCCGGCCGGGGAGTCGCCTTCCGCCTCGGCGGGTCCCGCGCTCGAATTTCCCGCGCAAGAGCCACGTGCCTTGCCGGCGGGGGCGGAGCGAGCGCGAGAGACGCTTCGTGGCGTCGCCGGGGCAACGGCTGCCGGGGAGACGGGGGCGGGGCCGAGCCGCGTGCGCCTTGCGCCGGGGAGGAGCGCGCGCGCCCCGCCGCGCCTGGCCGCCTGCGCCCGGCTCGGCAGCGCTCAGTGTCGCCGGAGCCGCCGCCGCGGACGGAGCGGGCCAGGAAGCAGCCGCCGCCGCCGCCGCCGCAGCGCCGCCGCCAGCCGGGCAGCCAGCCGGAGGCCCGGGTCGTGGAGCCGCCTCCGGGGATGCGGAGCCGCCAGGACCCGGCTGCCGCCTAGCCTCGCCGAAAACCGGATTTGGGCTTTGCAGCCGCGCCGCCGCCGCGCCCTCGCCGCTTCCAGGGAACGCCAAGCCGCCGCCGCCGCCGCCGCCGCCTTGTCCTCCGTTCGCTCCGCGCCGGGGCAGCTGGGGCGCCGCTCGCCTTCCTGGGCGCCGGAGTCGGAGAAGCCTGCCGGCGTCGCCTGGGAGCGCCCTTGGCCGCCTGTTGGGGCGCGGCGCCCTTCCTGCGCCCCGGCGGCCGGCGAGGGTCGGGGCGCACACAAAGGGAGCTGCCGCCGCCGCCGCCCGCCCTCCATGCCTCGGCGGGCGGCGCGCGGCCCCGGCGGGAGAGGAGCGCGGCGGGCGGCTGGCTCCCCCGGCCCGCCGTGCCGCGGCGCGGCCCTCGCTGCCCGTGAGGCGGCGGCCCATGCCCGGGGGCGGCGGCCCGGCCCGCGGCGCCGGCGGCGGCTGCTGCTGCTGCGCGTCGCCTGACCCCGCGCCGACTCGGCCGCCCTGGACCTCCGCCTCGCGCGCTCCCCTCCGGCCAGGACCTCCTTCTCTCCCCGCCGCGGCTCCATGGCTCCCCGGACGCGCCGGCTGCTCCCGCCGGGGGCGGCCTGAAGAGGAGGAGCGCGGCGGCGGCGGCGCTTGCCGGGTAAGGGCCGCGGGGCGAGGGGGCTCCGGCCTCGGGGCGGGAGAGAGGAGGCGGCTGCCGCTGGCCCATCCTTCCCGGGGCGGGCAGGGGCGCCGCGCTTTTCCCTCGCGCCTTTTGTTAGCCACTCTGAGCGTTTTGTCGTCTTCTGTTTTTGCCACCAAGCTGCCTATTAGTTGACACGCATCTTTTCGGTGCTCGCGACAGCCCTGCCAGGTGGGCCGAGCTAAGAAATGTGAAGTGCCTGGCCCAAGGTCACCCCAGCCAAAGGGCGCCTGTGGCCCCCCAGCCCCGCAATAACTCCTTACTGCCGTCCCATCCGCCTTGGGGGGCAGCCTGCTGCTCCTGCTAGCCGGGGGGTGAACTTGCTGGCTGCGCTGCAGGTGCCTCTGGGGGCGCCGGGAAAAGGGTGCTTTGGCCCAGGGGCGGTGGGAATCTCCTTGCCTGCCTGGAAGAGCCTTTTTCGCTCTGCCCTTTGGCTACTACCCAGGTGGCCTCTTCTTGCCTGCTATGGAATCTCTCACTTTGGGGCAAAGGGCTGGAAATCTTTCCTTTGGATGATTAATCTGCTCCCCTCCCCCATAACATTGGAATGAGTGGCAGAATTGCTTCTGCTTAGGCCGGTGAAACGTAGTGAAGTTCTCTCAGAACTGACAAGAGAGTGGTGTTTTCTTTGATTACCTGGCAAGCCTTGTGTGTGTTGGAAATCACCTGCCCCCCACCCTAGGAACGTGTGTCTGGGGGGGGGGTTGGATGTACCTTCCAGCTCTGCAAGTCTGTGATCTGTGTGGAGAGGGTGGTCTGCCCACGTGCCTCACCCCCCTTGGTCCTCCTTGGGGCAGGAGCAGGAGGTGGGCATGTACCTGTGGTTTTTAATTTCTAAAGGGAGTGCAGGGGTGCTTTTAATGTTGCTGACACATCCTCATGGCAGCAGTGGGATGGAGAACAAGGGAGATCTCAACCAACCCACCTCAGCAGTACATGGATTTTCTTTTTAGGCTACTGTTTGGAATTCTTGGCATTATATGTAAATGGAGGGGTTTTTTGGTAGCGAAATGAAATCTGCTGTCTTGAATAATACAATATTTTTTTGAACGGAGTGGAGGGTTGACAAGTAGACTGTTGGCCTCCTTCGCAGAGATGTGTAACGGGGGGGGCGGGCTGCAGTGTAGCTGGACCCCCCTTTTTAAAATTAAATTATTGAACGCTTCACAAACTTGCATGCTGCTGTGCTCCTGAATGCCCACTGCCCCTGACTTGGGCACATTGGCTGGAGCTGATGCTTCCGCAGCCTCTGGAGGGCCACATGTTTGCCACCCCTGCTGTGGAACTACCTGAGCCTCCTGTGAGCAGAGGGGGTGGGTGGGCAAAAGGCTTTTGCCTGGCTTGCAGCTGGTTGCTGGTCTGGTCCACCAAAGCCATTCTGTCTTCGGAACCTTAGATAAAATGCTGAGAAGCAAACCTCCATGTGCAGGGGCAGTCTGCCATGATGGTGGGGAGGGGGCGGGGAGGTAGAGGCAGAGCTTGGGGGCACCTGGCTGGCAAGTCCTGCGGACACGTCTCAGTGTTGGACTCAGTGGGTTTGACCCAGCAGGGAGATGATCTTCTTGATGTCCCTCTATTTACTCATTTAGTTTGTAGATTAAGAGAAATCCCATTTTGCTGGAGGAGGTGGAGGCTTTTCAGAACCTGCATTTTTGTTTGTTGTGCCCACATCAGGGGCTAATTTCCTGCTAAGATCATGCCCATCCTTTAATCCGGAATCTTTTGAGAAAGAACAAGCTCTGAGAAGTAGGAGTTTGCTTGGCTGTGTTGTGAGAGGCACAAACAAATGCAGCAAACATTATCTCCCCATCCCCTTGCAATACAGCTCACCTTCCAGCTGGCCCTTGTCTTTCCATGAAAGGAGCTTACAGTAAATGTGCTTATTCCCCCACCCCCTACTTTTTAAAAAAGTGTAGTCTCGGCATAGTGCCTGATGGATTGGGCTGCACGCAGTAATTCTGGGTCTGAAGAGGCAGAGGCTATGCAAGAGTTAAATTGCAGTGAGGCTGTGTCTCTCTCTGCCCCCCCCATCCCTTTTAAGCTGATCTCCTTCCTTTCACATGACCAGGGATGGATGAGCGCACTAACCTCCTTCTCTCTGGCTGAGCAGGAGCAGAAGAGCTCCCTTTAGTGTCTCTTACAAAGAAGCTGTTCAGCCAAAGAGCATCTCGTAATCCGAGGTCGGAGGCATCTGGCGAATTAAGGGCAGAAACTTAGGCGAGGGTCTTAAAGGGGCCGAAGCTGCCCGACTCTTAGGTGGGGCAGAGAGGCGTGCCTGTGAATGGATACTGTAAGGGGAGCTGTGTCAGATGCAACTGGTCTTTGTATTTAATTTATTTATATCCCTTCCTTTCCCCCAAATTGCCATTCAAGGTGGCTTCCAACGTTTAAAAACAGCACCATTGTTATTATTTATTATTAGTGGCATTTATTAATCGCCTTCTATGCCATTGTCTCAAGGCGATTTACCCATAAGATAATGACAAACAGTTAAAAGCATAAAAACAACCAGTACCTTTAAAAACAAGACTGGTGCCCTGACAAGTGGTGAAGACCCCTTTACCCAGCTGGGGAAGCCTGTCAGAACATTTCCAGGAGGTGTCAGCGGGCAGGGAAGCTTTTCCATAGAACAGGGGCAGCCACACTAAAAGCCCATCTCCAGGTTCCTGCAGAGCATGGCTCTCCTTCCAAGGGTCTAATTACCCACGCAATGTCAGCAACGTTATTGGCCCGTGGCCAGTACATTCTTAGCGTTATAAAATACAAAGTAGTGGAAAAAACTAGTTTAAAAAACCAACAGTTGTAATACGCCAGACCCCGTTTAGAGCCAGCAGTTTGCCCTGACAGCTGCCCAGTGGTCAGCGCTGCCTGCACCTCCCTTTCCAGAGGCCTGTTCCAGGAAGACACAAAAGAGGGAGCCCGTCTGGCCTCTCTTGGGAGGGAATCCCTCCTTCTGGGAGCAGCTGTAGAAAAGGCTTGCTCTCGCATCCCCGTCAGCATCTGGTGCTGAGGGGACTGAGAGTAGGTGCTCCCCTGAGGATCTTTGCACCCGGGCAGGTTCAGGCCATAGATTTACTGGTCATCAGCAGCACTTTGAATTGTGCCTGGGATCAGATCAGATGTCAGTAAAGTGGTTTTAACTGGAGAGTAGTGTTCCTGGCTGCTGGTTCCCACAGTGGCAAACTGACCCTCTGGACTTAAGGACCCCAGCCTCCTCCTCTCCCCGTGGCTCAGCAAGAGAGCAACCCTGCCTGAAACCCTGGAGCACTGAGCCAGGTGGGCCAAGGCAGCTTCCTGCATTCCCCAGCTGGTCTTGAGATGGTGTCTGTTGCAGTGAGGAACTTTTGGAGCTCACAGGGAGAAGCACCTGCCCAGTTGCATTGGGTGTTTTGACCTGCAGGTTCTAGGAGATGGACTTATGCCTGCTACACAAGGCCAGGGTGCTTTTCTGGGCTGCTTGGGAGCTGCACTTCAAAACGTCTGGAGGGCACCAGGTTGGCGAAGCCTGGATTAAACGTCCTCCTGCCACAATCATTTTCTGCAATGTGCTCCGATGCTGTTGATCCACACGGATGTGGTGCGGCAGCAGAGCAGGAAGCTGTGGTTTATAACTCAGTGTTAGGAGATGATATGTAAATATTCTGGCCTTTGAGCAGACCTATGCTCCTTGCTTTGTAGCTTAAAAGGTCAAGGGACCCCTGACCATTAGGTCCAGTCATGGCCGACTCTGGGGTTGCGGCGCTCATCTCGCTTTATTGGCCGAGGGAGCCGGTGTACACCTTCCGGGTCATGTGGCCAGCAGGACTAAGCCGCTTCTGGCGAACCAGAGCAGCGCATGGAAACGCCGTTTACCTTCCCGCAGGAGTGGTACCTATTTATCTACTTGCACTTTGACGTGCTTTTGAACTGCTAGGTTGGCAGGAGCAGGGACCAAGCAACGGGAGCTCTCGTAGGGATTTGAACCGCCAACCTTCTGATTGGCAAGTATTAGGCTCTGTGGTTTAACCCACAGCGCCACGCGCGTCCCTTGCTTTGTAGCTTAAGACTAGCTAAATTGAGGGATGGGAAAGACCACCTTCATGTTCTATCAGCGTCCATGGTTCTTGGGTGCCAAAGCCAGATTTAAAATTTTATTTTTTTAAGCTGGTGTCTGGAGTTTTCCACCATGGGCTAATTGCAGACCTTAGTTGGCAGATAAAAACCATATGTAAAGTAGTTATTATTCATTTTTTAGAAACTTAGGTTGGAGCAAAATTATGTAAGCTTTCAGGCTTTGTAGGGTGCTTTGCTAGGTGAAATGTGAAGGGAGCAGCATTTCTGGTGCAGATGGAACAGGTTGGCTTAGTGGCTGAATACATTTTCAGAAGGAAAAACCTGCTTTCCAAATAGCCCAGCCCTTGTGAACTTTTAAAGCCTGCGTACTTTTTAACCCGACTTAAGTCACTTGAGTGAAAGATGGTAGCTGTGGGGTGAGGAACCGGTGGTCTGAGGGCCACATTCCAGGGCCACGTGCAAAAGTGGGCACAGCAACAAATGTGCGTTTTGCCTTTTTACTACAAGGCTGTTGTTTCCCTCTGTGCTGCATCCATCCAAGCAAGTGGGGGGGGGGCTGGATTTGGCCCCCCAGGGCTGCAGTCCCACATCCCTGATTTAGAGGATGCTGCCTTGTAAGTGTTTTGCATGGATTTGGCCTCTCTCAGCCATGACGCTCTATGATGGCCTTAGCTCTCCCCCCTCCAGCATACCTCACAGGGCTGTTGTGAGGCTGAAACAAGATTGCCATAGAATGGCAGAGTTGGAAGGGACAGTGAGAGTCAAACCCAGGACCCTCAGATTAAGACTTTTGTGCTCTGCTGACTGAGCTAATGTATATGAAATGATAAATCAAGCCGAAAAGGGTGGGGGGGGGAACTAAGGTAAATGGTAGCTTCTCAGGTTGTAAGCTCCTTGGGCAGTGG